AAGAGGGGAAAAAGTAGTGGCTAGCGATGGACAATACTTTCAATAAAACATTATGTATCGTTCTTTCACAATAAATGTTTAATTTTTGAAAAACGGCGGAAACTTATTTGTACACCTAATATTATTTTCTATTATTCTTTTGTAGAATTCATTTATATTTTCACATGCAATTTATTAATTACAATTATGCATCGGAAATTTACAATTTTTGAAAACGCATATTGGAATCCATGGGATTCGAACCTAAGACCTAGGGGATGATAGTCTAGCACTCTAACGTTGAGCTATAATCGCACATTTGTCTGGATATTTGAGCATGTAATAGTAAAGACATTTCTGGATTAAGTTACATAGATTCTTATAAACATTGTATCACGTTTATCATATACCTTAAGTATCGTTTTTAATCTCAAATCTTTAGATAATTTACCTTGATATAAATTTTCTATATTTCTCATTTTCATCATATAGTTTAATTATCGTTTAAACAATTTCTACCTAGTCACGTTTTATGAAAATTAATAACATCCTATCATGTTTTTGAATTGTAAATTTCAGATTATTTACCTAAAATATTTGATAGTTTCTATACTTCTGTATCATTTTTGTCAGCTCAGATATCGTTTTCAATCAATTTCTATCTGACCATGTTCTATCAAAATTAATAACATTCTTTCGTGTTTTTGCTTTGTAAATTTTAGAATCTGAAATTTAATCTTAAATTTTAGAATTTGAAATTTACGATTAAAGATATGATAGAATATTATTAATTTTGATAAAATACACGACTAAAATAATTGATTAAAACCGACATTTAAGTTGTATAATAAACACAATACAGAAATAAAGAAAATATGTCACGTACTTTAAACGAGTTAAGAAACGAGTCTGAAATTTACGATTCAAAAACATGATAGCATATTATTAATTTTAATACAACATGGCCAGATAGAAATAGATTCAAAACGACATCTAAGCTATATGATGAAAACGATACAGACAAATACAGAAAATTTATTTAATATAGTAGGTAAGTAATCTGAAATTTACGATTAAAAATGATATTTAAACTATATAATAAAAAAAAACGATATAATGTTTATAAGAAACTATATAATTTAATCCAGAATGTCCCTATATATGTTAGAATAAGATAGATTTTATGGAAAAATTATCTTATTCTACAGTTGGCAACATAATATGACATTTAGATTATTAAATAATTAATTACTTACCCCAGCACAGAAGATTGAAGCAATATTGCTGCAATGTTGCAATATTGCAGATTGCAATTAATATTGCAGAGATATTACAGAAATGTAAATTAACAATATGCCTGCAAAATGTTAGTAATATGCTTGTAATATTTCACAAACATTGCAAAACTGTAATTCTTTAATTGTTACAATAATAATAATATAAAAATATAAGTTTTTACAATATTTATGTAGTACAGTCTTTTAGTTTAACAGCCATTTTTATGATATAATAATTAATATAAAAAATATCTTGAAACTAACGTGGTTCTAATATTAACACATATAAAAAATAAGAGCATAAAAAACCACAGCACAAGTTATAGTTTGTGATATATAATTATTATTACATTAATTAAAACATTAAACGTTTCGGCCACAATCTGGCCATCTTCAGTAATTCAATAATATTCTTAAAACGCAGAGTTACATCTAGTTGACATTAAATTCAACAGTCGAGAGTTGTAATTAAATAAACATGTTGAACAAGAATTTCCAGATTCTGTTTTACAGCAAAAAAACCAAACGATGAATCTCGAATATTTCTTTTACACAGTTAGAATTTTGTCGTGACATTATGTGTTGTTTCTGGAAATTCTTGTTCTACACTTTTCTTGATATGACAATTGACGGTGTAACATTACTGCATGAAGCATCTTCACATACATAAGAACATGTTTATTTAATTACAACTCTCGACTGTTGAATTTAATGTCAACTAGATGTAACTCTGCGTTTTAAGAATATTATTGAATTACTGAAGATGGCCAGATTGTGGCCGAAACGTTTAATGTTTTAATTAATGTAATAATAATTATATATCACAAACTATAACTTGTGCTGTGGTTTTTTATGCTCTTATTTTTTATATGTGATAATTAATATAATTCATTTTATATTTAAATAAAAAATTTATTGATATCTATTATTTGATGGTCATTTCATAGCTAAGTTTTATATTTATTTTAAATATGAAATCAAAAAATTGTATAATATCAAGTTTGGATACAATCAATGCATCATCATCGGATAAGACGATAAGCAATTAAATTGCTGAAAACAATTTATTAAAATATTAATTATGTGATGTATTTATGCCTGATGTAATCAAGTAAGAATAAACTAGCGCGTGAATTTTATTGATAAATTTCATAATTTTATTGATAAAATATCATTTTTTAATCGATTTCAATTGATTCGAAATGGTTTCGAATTAAAAAGAATCACTTACCAAGTTAATCATGGATTAAGTAAATTGCAGTGATTCTTTTTAATTCGAAACCATTTTGTGACTGTATTATTATATTAATTTGCGATTGTATTATTATATTAATGTGAATAATATTTGTAGTTCTTACGAATAAATTTATCCTTCAGATTTAATACTATATTTATTGGAATATTTTATGGTTTTATTTAATAAAAAATTGCTTTTGAAAAGCACATATCACTAGAAATGCGATTTGTAGAAAAATTAAAGTTAGTGAAATAGTTTTTATTTTAGAGTCTTCGTAAAAAATTTATTCAAATACATTACATTGCAATATTGCTGGAATGTTTTGTTGCAATATAACAAAAAGCGAACATCTTAACATTATTGGAATTTTGCAACAATGATTCAGCAACGTTTCGCAATCACCATGCAATATTGCAATGTTTCAATGAAATCATTCTGCAATCTTTCTGTGCTATATGGGCAATGACGTAAGTGAATAATCAATTATATAACAACGGTGAAATAATTTTTTTATAATATCTACCTATTTAAACAGAGACATTTTCGGATTAAATTGTACAGATTCGCATAAATCATCCTGTCACTTATTTTATATTAAATCAAATAATATGACAAAGAAGCTTATGTATACATGCAGTTATTCTATTTAAATAAGATAAGATATAAAACGATATATTAAATGTACAGCTTTATTATGTATGCTGAAATCTGCAAAATAATTGTTTAATGATCTGAAGAATATCATATTATATTGTCAACGATAGGATACAATAATTTTTCTATAACATCTATCTTATTCAAACATATAGAGACATTTTTGGATTAAACTTTATAAATTCATCTTTTTTATAAAAATATCTTTTCGTTTATTTCTTATTAACTTAAATAATGCAGTGATCTAAATGACACATTATATTGCCAATGATTGAGTACAATAATTTTTCTATATCTGTCTTATTCAAATAGGGGCGCGTATTAGGATTAAATTGTATTGGTTCATACAAACATTCTTTCGTTATTTCTTATTAATAAATCATATAATGTGACAGGATCATAGAGAGAGAGAGAGAGAGAGGGGGAGGGGGAAGAGAGAGAGAGAGAGAGAGAGAGAGAGAGAGAAGTTTGTGATCTTCGGATAAGTATTCTATCGTTTATTTAATATAAGGTATAAAAATTTAATATAAGATAGAAATTTAAAACTTTTCCATCTGTCGTGATTAATGTCCGATAGATTCTGATAAAAATTATATAGGATTCATATCAGATTTTTATAAATTTCTACCGTTTTTTATCAAATTTTTTAAGCAGGGTTAGTTATAATAAAAAGATAATCCATAAGTCATAATCCATAAGTAAGAAATTAAATAATCATGATCTATTATTTTTTTTCTTATTCAACATGATGACGTGATTGATCAATTTCTTTCTTACGACTTGTGATCCTGTTGTAGAATAGGCATAATAGTCGATTGCAAAGCGTCAAATAAAGGATTATAAGTGCGCTTAATCGATCGGCGTATTGGTGACACGCGTGTACTCGTCACCACTTGAATCAATTGCAATTGATGAGACTCCAATGTAAAAATACGTCTCTAATTATTTTTATTGTTTCAGGCTTTATCTTGGCGGGTGTGAGATGTTACGTATTACACTGCGTGCCACTTCCGGTTGAGTCACCGATCGCGACGCCGATTCCGCCAACAGGCGAACAAGCGCCCGTTGTACCTAAGGGCACCTTGGACCTCCTAGTAGGCCATCAAAATCAGCCGGAGACAGACGCTCTGATGCAGCATCGAGAACATCACCACCACCATCAACACCACAGCTATCATCATCATAACAACCACAAGAAGAAACGCAGTTCTCAGGGTTCACATTCCGAAGAGGCCTAAAATACAAACGAACGGGCGGAAGCAGAAAAGGCAGAATGAAATGGAGAGAAGGAAAATGATCGAGTTACGGGATATTGTTCGACGATTTGTGCGAAACGGGATATTGTTCGAATCCGGCGAAGAGAATCAATATCGAGCAAAAAGCAAAGGGGAATAAGAGAAAAAAAAGCCGAGGCTGGGTGAATTTTTTTGGAAGGGAAAACAATGCCATTCTTTCATAACATCTTGAAATATATACGAAATTTCCTAGAACGTGGCGCATCCTCCACGATCAATGATGAAAGATGAAACTATATCGAAAGCCACTGACACAAACTGAAGGAAAATAATCGGCCTGACGTTGAGATAGGAAGTCGTACTGAAGTGAGCAATAAATTATTAATAGCAAGCGAACAATCTTGTTGTTTGGCTCTCGAAAAGGAAGCGTCGACGTCTGGGATATTCTGTGTATATCCTGTACATATGCTAATGTGTATATAGATATGAGAGTACAGAGTGGTTTTCTAAAAAAAGAGAGACTCGTGGAATATGTTTCTTCTTCTAAGGAAAACAAAAATAATTTATTAGAGATTTTATTTATCAAAGATATAAAACAAAAGATTTATACTACTGGAACGAGATTTTGTCTTTTGACATTTTTTTGTAATAAAGGAAATTGCTAATCAGGTTTTGACGAAATATCGGCGAAATTTTAATTACGTACATCAGTATCTATATACATATAATATACAATAATATAAACAAATTTACGTTGCAATTGTATGCCGAGGCAAGTGCACTTTTCTACCTAATATACCGAGGATTCGATATATCTAATGACATTCTTTTGTCACAAGACTTCTAGTAGAGAGATTTTGTAGAGAAGACGTACGTTTAATCTACCGATTAGTACAGAGTAGTCTGTTATTGGCCATGTAACTGGGAAGGAATGACGATTTTTACAGTTAAAAACAAAAGAAAAGTTGGAACAAAATTTTGAGAGGTTCTTGATAATTTCGACAATACTGATGTTTTTTGTTATTATTTTTAAATCTGGACAATATTCAATATAAATTATTTAATGCTATCACAGTATAAATAAAATAATTTAATAGTCTGTTTAAAAATAATAAAAAATAGAAAGAAATATTTCATTTTGTTAAGTAGAATATATTTGTATATTTACACTTACGTAGTCGCGTTTAATTGGAAGTTAACTTATAAATAGTCCTGGTGAAAAAAATGTTTATGAAAGTTCACAATATTTTTAAGAAACTTTATATTTTTAATTTATAAACATTTCTGAAAAAAAAATATTTCAAATTTCTTTAGATTTTGTAAGTTTTCTTCACAATTAAGTTATAGAATGAAACATTTTCAAGGTCTTAAAATAATCTGAATTCACATATATAAAGAATTCCAGGAAAGATATAAATTTTCTAAGCACTTCTGAAAAGTGTTCCAATTCAGAGAAATGTTCTAAAAAGTTATAAAAAATTATACAAAAGTTCTGAAATTTGTATAGAAATTATAAAAAATTGTATAAAGAATAAGAAAAATTTTCTGAGACATTAATAAATTAACTCGGAAACGCTGATTGATTTTTTAATCTTTCAGTTATATTTTCTCCAGAATACGGAAGTTTTATATATGATTCTATTTTCTGTTATTTATTTGTCTATTTTATGTAGAATTATCTCCTTCCAGGTCGTATCGCTGATGACGCACCACTCTATACAAATTATATTTGGAGACATGATAGCGTCTCGGCGCTAAGACAAGCGCAGCATCATGGCACGAGACACTGCCGTGCTCCTTTTTTATTTTACTCGGAATACACATACGGGAAATCAATGTATGGGAGAAAGAATGTATCTATACGAATGGTCTTGTATTCGCGTCGCTTTATCTTCGATATTCTGATGGATAATCTCATAGAGATAATACATTTATATAAAATTCGGTTTAGAGGGAGGCTAGTTATGAGAACGAGATGACTGATGTAGGAAATGATGTAGAGGATCGTGATTATATAGAAAAAAAAACACATCGATGTCATTACTTTAATAACTTAGCGATAACGTTTTTCCAGCACCCTTCGCGCACCAATTAGCAACCTTGATGTACTTCTTCCAGAAAGATCTTATAGCGTATTCGATTTACTGATTCGACCCGCTTCAAATCAACTGTTTTTTTTAGCTGCATTTCTCGTATAGTTTAGCTCTTCTTTTATAGCTAAACAGAACAGATTATTAAGAGTCGAGTTGAATTAGCAAATCGAATCGCTATTAGCGAATCGGAAACGGATGGTCAAACTGTTATCTAACAATCTACGAATGCGTCACGAAGAATGCGCGACACAGGGAAACGCGTCTTTTGCATAAATACAAAGTATATGTATTATCTTTTTACACTCGATATATATTTATAACTAAACGAAACATAAACAAAAGTCTGTGTCTGCGCGCGGAGAAAGCTTTATTTCATTGTCGAATTGAGATTGTGTTCGTTCAGCATTCGGTACATTCGGACGAATAAATTCATGCTGATATCGAGCTTGCTCTTTTTTAACAAAAAATTAAAAATTAAAAATCAAAGTATAAATTGGATGTAAAGGAGTGAGTGACAGAAGTGTAAAACAAAACTTCTAGGAAGCGTAAATTGGAACAGTAAACATAAAAATGGCATTTACTTCTTAACATTTTGTCTGCTATGTCATCTATAGAGGAAAGAGAGCATGAAAGAGATGTTTTTTTTTCGAAATATGAAAAGAATATTTAATTTGGTGATAAACAAATATAATCGCTTTCTTACTTAAATGTACTCATTTATTTATAAGATCCAATTTAACAGAACAATAATATTTAGCCATTAACAAAGATTTAATGATTTATCATTTTTCATAAACAAGAAATTTAGCTCTTTCAAAATAACATGATTTGGAAAGAGCCAAGTACTAAATTATATAAGCTTTAATATAATAAAATCAAAACGTCATCTTTTAACAAATATTATTTTTTAAAAAAATTAATAAATGTGCAAAAAATAGAAATTTTACAAATAATATTATATTTCGAATTAAAAATATTTATTGTAAAAGAAATGAAAATTTCTCTTATTGCCACATGAAGTATGAGCCCAGTCAGAATACATTTTGCACTGATACTAGTCTTCATTACATACAGAATAATCTATTAAACATAATAGACGATTGAAAAGAATGAAATATGGAAGTGAGTCGGTAAAATATGTAGTTCAGTATAATTTAATATAGCAACAACATAATCAGAATGCTGTTTTATAAAACAGAAATACATGAAAATCTATTTACCTACAAATATGCGCATGGATGCTCCTTGAAGGAGGCTGTATCTGAAGATAATCTTGTGCAGAAGTGTGCTGATAGGATCATATATTGACGCCATGCAATGATATATCGACATTAAGCGAATAAAAATGGATCATCAGTACGATATATTTCAAAAAAGGACTAACGTATTAAAATTACTTGAATTGTACTAAAAAAGTAGAAAATCAATTTGTACTGAAAAGAACATTTCTGGATATGCAATAAAAGAGCCAGGCAAAGCAATAATAGAATTGGTTTTTTTTCATAGCTCTCAATACCGGCTCTTTCATAACATTATATGTAAAAAATCTAATCACAGAATATCTGATAAACCAAAATAAACAAAGAATTTGTAATTACATTCTTAATTACATTAATGTATATACTATATAATATTTGATATAAAAAAATACTTTCTCTAAAAGCTAATCGCAAATAACTGAAAAAGATTTGGAAATTTAACTCAAAAAAAACTTTTTGTAACTCAAAAAAAACTTTTTGATAATTTTGCATTTTTCATTACAGCAACGCCGTTTTGACGATGACTGTCAAATGTTTATGGATAATGTAGTTTTAGTACTGTTATCATATGAAAATATTTTAAAATTTTTGGTGATATTCAATTAGTTGAAATACAAAATGACTCTTTCAAAATATGTATCTTTCATGCCCACTTTTCTCTATTTATATGACGTATAAAATTTGTAAAATTCCTATTACTTTTTTGTAGGTGAGATGTTACTTACTCCATTAAAAACAATTTTACGAAATATTTAAGACATTAAAGAAATAATGTAAAAAAAAATAACTATGCCCAATTTGGACCCCGACTGAACATTTGACTGTCACCATGTTGCACACAATACTTAACTATATGACAGCCATTTTTGCAAGCAGTAATATTCTAGAATGTACCAAATACATTTCAGACATTAATTTAATGTCTTTAATATAATCCGTTATCGCTATCACCGTCAGAAGGTACTCTGGACGCAGAGAAATCGGATAAGATTAGTGATACATGTCATAATAATGAACTTTGCGTAGTTCTAGCACTCAGGAAACCTCTCCTATAAGGTTGGGCTTATGGAATTTTTTATTCTCTTTCGATGTCTTAAAATTTTAGACATGTCTTAAAGTTGTTCATTCAGGGCCCAAATTTTTCTATAAAACTGGACATAATCCTTATATTAAGGCATTAAAAAAAAAACATTAGTATAATTGTATACCATGTTTATTAAATTCAGTTTGATAATCCAAAATCAGCTTGATAATCAAAGTGTTAAGATATTTCTTTTATATTTCACTGTTCTAATTTACCTTTTCTAAGAATTATGATTCTGTCTCCTCCCTCTCCCCTCCTCTCCGTACACTAATTTACGCCATCAATTTTTATTTTCACCAAAGTTCTTTCTGAAACATACGGAAAGAACGATTTTGCTGAAATGTCTAAAAATTTAGCTAGATATCAAATAAAAGAAATTTTATTGGGCTATCAAAATAATTATACATAGAATACTCAAAAAATCAAAACTTTTTGTAGCATTGTTCATCATGCTTGAGAGTCCTACATAATAGTTTGATTCAAACAAATTATTATAAGATATCACAAAATAAAATTAATAATTAATATCACTTTTTATGTTCGTATAGCTTACAATAAACAATTATTACATACAGAAACAGTCTAGGTTACAAAATTAAAACGAGTTATTATATATTATATAACGAGGTATACGAGGGCAAGGTGAAAAGTAACCGACCTCAACATGAAACATGAACATGAACGCAGTTTTCA